TTATTTGTGTAAATTTTTAACGATAGATGACAATTAAATTTAATTTACTAATACATAGTGTTCCAATTTTAAAACTTTTTCGTCAAATAAAGAAGGACTTATAAGAGATACCTTTTTGGTATTTTCTAAGATAATTTGTTGATTGGAAGTTTGTTTGGAATAAATACAGCTACAGCAAACAATAGTTTATTCAACTCCTGACTTTTCAGTGACTCACTTTCCCCAGGGAAAAGATGGGAGAATGACAGCGAATTACTGAAACGTCAAGAATGAAATAAAAAATCGGTTGATTATAGCCTTTTTATTATTTATAATCCTTGTTGAGACGGCTTGTAGAAGAATAAGGGTCTTCGATATCGTCACTGTAATATAATATGTTTAAATATATTTGACCATTGACCAACATTATTGTTTTTATAAATGTGTAATATATATTTAACTTTACATTATTAGTATGTTGCACGTTGTTCACTTAAGATAAATAAAATAAGTCTTTTATATAAAAATATATCTTTCATTAATAATAAACATAAACAAAACATATTACAGTCACTTGAATCAATGATGCCATCTTGTCGACTTCCAAACAACGATTGAATAGTCAGTCTTACTTGTCAGGTGGACACTGGATGATAATAAATTCCTTCAAGATCGCAAAGAAATAAATATAAATGGATGTGACACTCGAATTATGTTTAGAAAGAAATATAGGTATTGATAGATTATCTCATATACACCAATGGACAAAAATTAAAGAAGTTGTATCTTTTAGCATGTATATCGGGATTCAAACAATACCTCTGAAGTATATTACAATGACCTTTAATTGAAGACACACGAGATAACCTAGTGTGATCAAAATTGTCTCTGTCTCCTTTAATCAAATACTTTTCACTTCTTTGAGTTTTATCCATGAGTGTATATTTTAAACAACATGTAAGTTCGGGAATTTATCTGGAAATACCTCTTCTTTTCAGGTAAAGTTATAATTGATTTAGGTATATATAGAATGATATCAGAATAATATTACGAAAATAACCAATTTTTCAAATTACATTGAATGCCTAAGTATTCTATACTTATCATAGGCAAAATGTAAAATTTAGAAATCATTTCAAACTTTGCATGTAAAAATGAGGCAATCTATAGAATGCTTTAATTAATTAATAAAACCATGCAATTTATCGGAATAATTGGGCAGCTCGATCTCCAGACCTAAATCCCATTGAGCATGTATGGGACAATCTAGGACGGGGATCTCATCCCTCCAACCTCCTCCTAGAAATACTCATGAGCTAGAAACAGCCTTAACACAAGAGTGGGCGTTGATTCCACAGGAGCTGATAAACTCCCTAATTCTTAAGTATGGGTCACCGATGTAGAGCCTGTCTATCAGTTGAAGGCGATCACACCCCATATTAACAACAATATCCAAGATATTTATACACTGACTGCAAGAAGATCATTGTTTGACCGGCTAATTTGCATAAAATATGTTTTAGATTTCTTTGATTTCGGGTATTTTAATCAATAATGGAATAATAAATTTGTGTATAAAATTTCATTGATAAATGTTCAATAAAATTTGAGATGAATGAAAAATATTGCGGGCCAGTATATAAATATATATATTTCTTTAATTAAAAAGGCATATATTGGATCAAAATATCATTTATTTTACCAATATTTCAGTTGGCTGAACGCCAACCTTTATCAAGGTATTATAACATTTTAATGTGTGTCAACAACAAACTCAGCGCAACATAACGTCAATAGAATTAAGTTTTAAAATATTTTTTTGCTTATATTCAACGGGGAGAAAAAGAATTGATATATAAATTTATATTATGGACAAAATAAATTTTGTAAAATAAAGGTGTGAATATTTTGAATATTAACAATAACCCCTATTTTATATTTACAATTATTTGTACCATATATATATATATTCCTAAGGAGGCACCATTATATATGTATCGTACTAAAGCTTCTATATAGAATACAAAAATAAATATATTCTCGATATGTCCAAAGAAAATAGACGCCATCAATGAAACCAGGAAGTGCTGTAATTCAAACAAATGAATGATACCATCAGATGCTGGTTTAAGTAAATTATTGGAGCTTTTATTACTTTCTGATGATGTCTGTGCTTCCATGTAATGTGTTTGCATTGTGTACAGACCATGACCCATCTTTCTCTCCCATATTGCCACATTTTATCTTTAAAGCTTTGTTCACTAAGATTGGTGTAATACATTCCCGTACAGTCTCATGCTATTATATGTAAAGAGATAAAGATACTATCACAAAAAAAGTAATAAGACCAAATATAAATTATTTAAAAGTTTGTGACGACTCGGTGACAGCGTTACTGCAATTATCAAACAAAAAGAGCATTGATAAATCATCTTTATAATGAAAAAATGTGTTAACTACTTTGTCTGATGATTGTAACAATGCTGTTACTGAGACGTCACAAACATTTCAATAATTTAGAGATTTGATCTTGTTACCTTTTCATCTTTATCTATAATTCAAATTGTATCTCATCATCAGAGAAAGATAAGTCAGTGGAAGGATGGTCTAAACCGTTGGCTTTCGACCACTACGACCCGGGTTCGATTCCCGCATTGGGCACTTTTTTTCTTTTCACTTAAAAAAAAATGCCTCAATGGCCCCCGATTCTTGCAAAGCCCAACCCCACCAGCGAGTGCAAGTAACCAAACGGGGCTCTGGCATATTTGTAAGTTCAAAGTCAAACTGCTTTTCACATGTGTAGACATATGGGGCACTTAGAGTAAAAGCAGTCACCTACTTCTACCCATTATGATTATCATGGCCTGTTCCACGTGTACTATTAGTATAAGCAAAAATATATATATATAGAAGAAAGGGAATGGAATTTATGTTGTCTTAAATCTACATGATTGGAAGGACGCTAGCCGTTTTAGGAACAAGAATTACTTTCACATGAGACAATGTAGCAATATGTTTGGATGAAAATATCATGACGCCATGTTAATGAAAACATTCTGGTCATTTTGCTAGCGACATTCTATGTAAACTTACTCTGCTGCTTTGTTGTAAATATGAGGATAAGGTACATAGTGTTGATAGTGATGAGGAACCGTGTGATTTTATCTTTTACATTTAAAATAGCCATTTTTAAAAGTCTAACCTAAGATTATATATTTGTTTTGAAAATAGAGCAATCCATATTTAATTCGTTAGATTAAAAATAGGCATATATTGGATTTAATAAAAGATTTATTTTGCCAATATTTCTGCTGGCCGAACGCCAACCTTTATCGAGGCATTACATTTTTGTAATAAAGGTTGGCGTTCGGCTAGCCGAAATATTGGCAAAATAAATATTTTACTAAATCCAATATATGCCTTTTTTAAATCTAAGATTATATATATTCTTAATATATGGAAATTCATATTCAAAATTTACACTCCTAAACAAAATTTAAGGAAGTTGTACCTTTTAGCTTGTATATTGGGATTCAGACAATAACTCTGAAAGATATTACAGTGACCTTTATTAAAGACATACGAGATAACCAAATGTGAACAAAATTGTCTTTGTCTTCTTAAAGTAAAAAAGACGACCGGCGATATCTCCACTTCCTTTAAGTTTTGTTCATGAGCATATATATTTCATATAAAGACTTATTTACTTCCCTTATAACAAAGATAAAATATTGGGAGGGCCTGACTCCTCAGTGGTGAACCCTATCAGAAATTTAGCCAGTAGATCATTGCAGTAAGGATAGAAAGAAAATGTTGATTTTTAAAGAAAAAGAAACAAAGATTCTCATAAATACTTTAGAATTCTGAATATAGATAGCGTGTTTATTTCCCCCTTTTAAAAAAATAATATAGTTTAAGAATAATTAAATTCGTGGATGGCTTTTCTTGATTTATTAAGAATTTTTTTTTTTAGATCAGAATTAGCTTTAATTGAGCTTAAGGAATATATATAAAAAAAAACAGAATTTGATAAAGTACTGCCTGACTTAAGGCGAGTAGATAAAGGAAAACAAAATATTATATTCACATAATTACAAAAGATTTGAGCCGGCCAACGGGAAACAACAACAATGAGTTTTATTAAGAAATTGGGTTGGCTAAATATCAGGGAACAGGCTAAATCAATGTTCAGTTGATTTTTGTTCCACCAGATGGCGCTCTGTCTTCTGAAAACACATGTGCTCCTGGTCAGGATATGCCTTTTTTATTTTTAATAAGTATGTATGTATAATATTTTTATACATTTTATATTCGGTTTTCCTATTTACAAATATGAGCGTATTTTTTCAGCCTGATCTAAATACCTTATGTATACAAAAAACCTCATGTTCTTCTGATAAAAAAATGTTTTTTGGAAGTATTTCTTTTCGCATGTCTGAAATTTCTATTTCTCTCGATATATTATATGTATAAATTGTATAAAGTTGGATTTACTTCCTATAATTCATTTGTCAGAGTTATGAATAGCTAAGCTAAGCCATTTCAGCATTGTTTGCTAGCTGAGATGTATTTGTAAATAAATATTTTCTTCTCGATCACAAAGAGAATAATTTTTAACGCTTTGCCAAATGTTTTAATTTTTGTTCGCTTCTGATGAGAACAAAATACTTTTGTTGAAACGTCGAGATAATAAAAAGATTTACTGGCTGAAGTATCTCTAATTTTAAGAACTATGAATGCCGGCCAGGCAGCCTCTAACTTTACGAGAAACAAATAAATATTTGCATAAAGTTTCCTTTCTTTGCAAATATTTTTATATATTTTTAAAATTATTATCCCAAGTACACATGGTATAGGCCATGATAATCATGGTGGGTAGATGTTGGCGATTCCTTTTACTGTAAGTGCACCACATGTCTACACTTGTGACAAGCAATTCGACTTTTACACTTACAAATGTGCCAGCGCACCGTTTGTTTACATGCACTCGTTGGTGGGGGTGGACTTTTGATTTTTTATTTGTTTTATCATTGCTTGGTGGACATGGCATTTGCCCGGTAAGCAGAACACTGTGGGTTCGATTCCCATCTCTGGACACTTTTATTTTTCCGTTCATCATTACTCTTCACATTTCATCCTTTCATACTTCATCCCTAAGGTTAGAAATAATCGTTATTTCTCCTTAAAATAAATTTCGATTTTGCGTTCAAAAGAAACATTAGCGGTATAATTGTCAAACTTCGTTCAACAATCATATAGGCCGCATTATATTGGGTTATAATTGCTTCTATAAGTTATTCAATTGCCATCTAAATACGGTTTCCACAGTTTCCTGTGTCAGTTTTTGACGTTTATTTTGACGGGAGAAGTGACCTTTGTCTCTTTAGATCAATATCCTCCCGGCAAAATTTCCATCTATATTATTTTTTGAAGTAAACGAAAAATTGCGTTACAAATTTCAAAAATAAAACTACAACCTTTCGCAATGAGTTTCTTTTATTATCAAATAATAAAATAATATTATTGTGGTATATAATATGAATATATATAAAATAATATAATAAAAGAAACTCATTGCGAAAGGTTGTAGTTTTATTTTTGAAATCTATATTATAGCCATAGATTTGGCCCAGCCACTTTGCCAGCTATACACCTCTTTGGCAGATTGTCAAGATTCCATTAGATCCCGTGTGGATCTCATGGAATAAAGTCCGCCCTAGACTGACGAGGGCCATTAGCCCGAAACCATGGTCTCTAGGTGGACGCTTTTCAGTTTGCCAAAGCTGGTGTTGTGGCTTTGTCACCGACCCGAGGCCGCTAGTTGCGGTGACGGTCAATAGATGGCGTCTAGTTTTGACGCTTATTTTGACGGGAGAGGCGACCTTTGTCTCTTTATATATATTCCTAAGGAGGCACCATTATATATGTATCGTACTAAAGCTTCTATATAGAATACAAAAATAAATATATGCCCCTTATGTCCAAAGAAAATAGACGCTATCAATGAAACCAGGAAGTGCTGTAATTCAAACAAATGAATACTCCCATCAGATGCTGGTTTAAGTAAATTATTGGAGCTTTTATCACTTTCTGATGATGTCTGTACTTCCATGTAATGTGTTTGCATTGTGTACAGACCATGACCCATCTTTCTCTCCCATATTGCCACATTTTATCTTCAGAGCTTTGTTCACCAAGATTGGTGTAATACATTCCCGTATATTTATCCTATTATAAATATAAAGAGAGAAATATACTATCACAAAAAAAGTAATAAGACCAAATCTAAATTATTGAAAGGCTTTTGACATTTCGGTAATAGCGTTGCTTCAATCATCAAAGTAATGATTAATCAGTTTTATAATAAAATTATTTTTAGTATACAATATCTGATGATTTTAACAATTCTGTTACCGAAACTTCACATACATTTCAATAATTTAGATATTTGATCTTGTTACCTTTTGATCCTTATCTATAATCCAAATTGTATCTCATCATCAGAGAAAGATAGTTCAGTGGAAGGATGGTCTAAACCAAGCATGTCAAACTCGCGGCCCGCGGGCCTCATGCGGCCCACAACGAAAAAATTTGCGGCCCACCAGACAATATATTTTGATAAAAAAATATTTATAAATTAAAAAATAATAATAATAAAAATTTGTAGCCTAATTTTTAAAAATTGTAATTATACATAATTTATTTATTAATAATGAACCACTGGTCGCCATACATAAGTCGTAAGTTTTGATAATACAGTATTATACCTACATACATAACGTATGTACATCGCCATAAGTATTTTTTGCGGCCCACATAATCTTATTACTTTTTTATTTGGCCCGTGTTAGGATTTGAGTTTGACATGCTTGGTCTAAACCGTTGGCCCTCGACCACTACGACCCGGGTTCGATTCCCGCATTGGGCACTTTTTTTCTTTTCACTTAAAAAAAATGCTTCAATGGACCCCCGATTCTTGCAAAGTCCAACCCCACCAGCGAGTGCAAGTAACCAAACTGGGCTCTGGCACATTTGTAAGTGCAAAGTCGAACTGCTTTTCACATGTGTAGACATTTGGTGCATTTACAGTAAAAGAAGTCGCCTACTTCTACCCACCATGATTATCATGGCCTGTACCACGTGTACTAGGGATAAGCAAAAAAAAAAAGAGAGAAAGATAGTGAATGGAATTTGTGTTGTCTTAAATCCACATGATTTGAAAGACGCTGGCCATTTTAAGAACAAAAGTTACCTTCACATGAGACAATGTGGCAATATGATTGGATGAAAATATCATGACGCCATGTTGATGAAAACATTCTGGTCATTTTTCTAGCGACATTCTATGTAAACATACTCTGCTGCTTTGTTGTAAATATGAGGATAGGGTACATAGGGTTGATAGTGATGTGGAACCGTGTGATTTTATCTTTTACATTTAAAATAGCCATTTTTAAAAGTCTAACCTAAGATTATATTTTACACAAATAAATTTACTGGCAATGCGTTTCTTTTAAATATCATATTGATATTTAAAAGAAACGCATTGCCAGTAAATTTATTATGATATTTAAAAGAAACGCATTGCCAGTAAATTTATTATGATATTTAAAAGAAACGCATTGCCAGTAAATTTATTATGATATTTAAAAGAAACGCATTGCCAGTAAATTTATTTGTGTAAAGTTTTAACGATAGATGGCAATAAAATTTAATTTACTTAGATTATATATTTGTTTTGAAAATAGAGCAATCCATATTTAATTCATTAGATTAAAAAAGGGCATATATTGGATTTAATAAAAGATTTATTTTGCCAATATTTCGGCTGGTCGAACTCCAACCTTTATCGAGGCATTACATTTTTGTAATAAAGGTTGGCGTTCGGCCAGCCGAAATATTGGCAAAATAAATCTTTTATTAAATCCAATATATGCCTTTTTTAATCTAAGATTATATATATTCTTAATATGGAAATATATATTTGAAATTTACACTCCTAAACAAAATTTAAGGAAGCTGTACCTTTTAGCATGTATATTGGTATTCAGACAATAACTCTGAAAGATATTACAGTAATATTTATTGAAGACATACGAGATAACCAAATGTGAACAAAATTGTCTTTGTCTTCTTAAAATAAAACAGACGATCGGCGAAATCTCCACTTCATTAAGTTTTGTTCATGAGCATATATATTTCATATAAAGACTTATTTACTTCCCTTATAACAAAGATAAAATATTGGGAGGGCCTGGCTCATCAGTGGTGGACCCTATCAGCAGTTTCGTCAGTAGATCATTGCAGTAAGGATAGAAAGAAAATGTTGATTTTTAAAGAAAAAGAAACAAAGATTCTCATAAATACTTTAGAATTCTGAATATAGATAGCGTGTTTATTTCCCCCCTTTTAAAAAATAATATAGTTTAAAAGGATTTAAATAAGATCACTAAATAGCATAAAGGAGAGGATAAAAGTCTCCTTCTAACTAACTTTATTTAATACATCTTAAGAGGACAGAGGAAAACACCCAACTGGTCGGTTTCAGACCAAGCCGTGTTCTAGTCCTTTGTAGGCGGCTGGCGCCGCCGGGCATGTTTGTTTACTGTCACCCAAGCCGTCTGGACGCCATTATTAAGAATAATTAAATTCGTGGATGGCTTTTCTTGATTTATCAAGAAATTGGGTTGGCCAATTATCAAGAAACAGGCTAAATCAATGTTTAGTTGTTTTCTGTTCCACCAGATGGCGCTCTGCCTTTTGAAAAGCACATGTGCTCGTGGTCAGGATATGCCTTTTTTTATTTTTAATAAGTATATATGTATAATATTTTTATACATTTTATATTCTATTTTCCTATTTACAAATAGTGGCGTATTTTTTTAGCCTGATCTAAATACCTTATGGATACAAAAAACTTCATGTTCTTCTGATAAAAAAAAATGTTTTTTGGAAGTATTTCGTTTTCCTGTCAGAAATTTCTATTTCTCTCGATATAATATATGTATAAATTGTATCAAGTTGGATTTACTTCCTATAATTCATTTGTCAGCGTTATGATTAGCTAAGCCATTTCAGCATTGTTTGCTAGCTGAGATGTATTTGTAAATAAATATTTTTTTCTCGATCACAAAGAGAATAATTTTTAACGCTTTGCCAAATGTTTTAATTTTTGTTCGCTTCTGACGAGAACAAAAGATTTTTGTCGAAATGTCGAGACAATAAAAAGATTTACTGGCCGAAGTATCTTTAATTTGAAGAACTATGAATGCCGGCCAGGCAGCCTCTAACTTTACGAGAAACAAATAAATATTTGCATAAAGTTTCCTTTTTTTGCAAATATTTATATATATTTTTTTGAATTATGATCCCAATTACACGTGGTATAGGCCATGATAATCATGGTGGGTAGATGTTGGCGATTCCTTTTACTGTAAGTGCACCACATGTCTACACTTGTGACAAGCTATTCGACTTTTACACTTACAAATGTGCCAGCGCCCCGTTTGTTCACATGCACTTGTTGGTGGGGGTGGACTTTTGACTTTTTTATTTGTTTTATCATTGCCTAGTGGACATGGCATTTGCCCGGTAAGCAGAACACTGTGGGTTCGATTCCCATCCCTGAACACTTCTATTTTTCCGTTCATCATTACTCTTCACAATTCATCCTTTCATACTTATTTATTTATTTATTTATGCTTATGAGGTGATACAGCAGCGTATTTACAATTAGAGAGGAGACAAAATGAATTAAATCTAGAAAAAAGAAGTGAGGACATATCGGTCATTAAAGTCTGAGAGGCAAGGCCTTCAGCCAGTTCAGGGCTTCCGGGGTGACAGAATGGAGATTGGAGATTCCTCCATTGAATTTGTACAGCGGGCAGTCATCTAGTATATGGGACATTGATTGTGGGACGTTGCAGGCACAATTTGGATCTTTGGTGTAGCATACTTCATACTTATTTCATACTTCATCCCTAAGGTTAGAAATAGTCTTTATTTATCCTTAAAATAAATTTCGATTTGGCGTTCAAAAGAAACATTTGCGGTATAATTGTTAAACTTCGTTCTACGATCATATAAGCCGCATTATA